GAGACTATAAAATTCAAATAACAAATCAGAGGTGTTTAGATATGTTGCACCATAATGAACAAAAACAAAATTCAAGTGACTTAAAACAATCATTTTTCCAGCTTAATTGACAAATAAAACTTAAGATATTTAAAGTGTGTATTGTGATTTTATATACATATAGGTTGTTAAAGGAATCCTCCCATCATTAGTTAATATAGCCATCACTTCACATATAATGTTCTTTTCATATATATACATATATAGTGATAACTCTTAAGTTCTACTCTTAGCAAATTTCAATTATATAGTAGTGTCCTCAGCTATAGTCACCATGTAAATAACCATCTTATTTAGTTCATCATCTTGTAGGTCGGGAAGTTGGGAAGGGACCACCCACACAGTGTGCCTGCAGTTCATTTGGCATCACTTGGGGGGACGGGCTGGCTGACCTTGCAAGATGGCTTCTTCCCTGATATGTCTGGCACCTCACTCCTCCTTGGCCTTTTTCTCTCCATTTTTTATCCTATAGGCCTGTGCATGTGGCTTGGATTTTGCCCAGGATGGTGGTCTTAGGGTAGCTATACCTCTTAAATGGCAGTTAGTTTATAAGAGAGCAGGGCCATAGCTACCAGGCCTTTTAAAACCTAGCCCTGGAACTGGCATAGCTGTTACAGCATCATTTACACCTTACTGTGCATTCACTGACCAGCGGAAACACAAAGGGAAGGGAAATAGACTCCCCAACTTTCCATGGGAGGAAGAGAAAAGTAAACACAAAGATCCCACCTCTTCTCCCACACGTGAAAATATCAGTACCATTCTGAGTCTTCCGTAGTTTGCAGATGTATTGGTAGTCTCAGATAAAGGTGAAGTGGCATTACACATACTGTGTATAACTTTTAACAACTTTTTTATATTTAATGTCACGATAATCAAAATTCTTTAAAGTTTTATTCCTTCTTTGACTTGTACATGTGTATTTTATGACCACATTTTGAGTTGCAGGAAGTGTGAACTACGCTTTTATGACACATACCCGAGATCTTAGGAACATTAAAAATAGTTTATTAATACCCAGGGTATCATTCTAGCTTACCTAATACCTTTGATTTACTAAAGTCACAAAAGTTATGTTGGCTTCTTTTATGGATATAACTTTAGCCACATGGTAAAGCATAGCTTTGTACAGGTGTTTTCAGATGTTTGGTCCACTGACATCTAAGAAATTCAACCCTGGGGTCATAGAGAGAAGAAGCGAAAGACAATAAAAACCACATGTTAACCATTAATGTTCATTTACCAAATCCTACTTAAACTCTTGTACTCTCTAAGCTAATTTCATCCAATTGCCTTTTAATTATAGTCTCTTGCTCAGAGTTGCAAATATAATGGCTTTTTAATATATCTTGCACTGTTCTGTGTCCAATGTAGGATGTAATCATGCAATTTATTCATAGCTAGTGCATTAGGTAATTAAAACATAAGCACACGTGGATTTCTGCACATGCATATTCCACAGAAAAGAATCTGACAAATCTGCTTTTGTATAAAATTTTTTAGATAGAATAGAAATTCTGTGTCCAATATATGCTGTAGCGATGATGAAATAAATCAAATATGACTGTTTGAGAGATCTGTGTACCTACCAGGAATAAAAGAAACTAAAGTAGGAATGTAAGTGTCTTAACACATTTTTAATTAATCAAAGTATTGGTAGATAGAATTCTCAATGTAGGTTAGTGCTTCATTATCTAAGATGTTAGGAGATGAACAGACCCTCAGTCTCCTGTCTCTTTTAGACAAAGACAGGAAAATAAGATGAGATTTAAGATAATTATCACTATTACTAAAAATGATCAAATATAGCCATTTTGAAAGCTCTTTTTTAACAGTGGTGATTACCTTTTGGGAGTAAGAGTTGATATATGCATGGCTAATAAATATTATGTTTCTTTCAATGAGCAAATACTAATCTAGTGAAGTTGTTCACCTTTATTTCATAGTAACCAGGAGTTTTTATGTAAAAACAAGTGATTACCTGTTTTTGAATTATGTATGATTTTGAGAACTGTATAATAACTTTTTAAAAAAGCATATCAAGCTGTATTTTTACACATTTACTCATTCCATAATTTATTAAGTGCCAACTATGACCTATGTGTTAGAGATACCAAGAAAAGTGCCTTAGGATTTTGATTTTTTTGTGGAAAGCCATTTCTCTGGTGTTACCTTCTGACTATTAATGTTTGGCCACATACACATGTGCGTGCACACACACACACACACACACACACACACACACACACAGGATATGAGCCATGAATCCAAATACCATGTTAGTGCCTGGAGACATCTGAAAATCTAGATGGATTGATTTCCTTTTTCAGTTTTCTCTGGATATGTGTTCACACATCTTATGTTCATTCTTCTTAGAATATTAATATAGAAAAGTATCTGTACATATCTTTTCCAAAACATTAACATTATTAAGATTTTAGATAACATATCCTCATTAGCTAATTTCCTTTTCTGTTCCTTTTTCATCCACTTGCCTTCTTCCTCTTACATTCTTAGCAGTTTTAGGGATCTTCTTTGGAAAACACAATGAACAGCTAGGAGGCTAGTCAAGGAGCATCCTATTCCCAAGTCAGAAGTTAAGCCTTGAAATCCAGATACATAAACCAATCCTCAAATTGGTATTTCTTGTACATTTAAGCTTTATGTTGTAAATACTGAGCTTTGGATGCTTTACCTCCAGAAAGAGTAATCTACAGAAGGAGACCAGCCTCTACAAAGGGAAAGTCAATCTTGATCCCTCTTGATGCTTTGAGTCCCAGGTCTTAAGAGCTTGCTCCCTAAACCCTGCCATTGACTTTTTTTTTTTTTTTTTTTTTTTTTTTATCTAGTCTTGACTGCTCTCTATTTAATCCTGCCTTTTACTTCCCCTTTGGAGATACTACATCCTAATTCAGCTCTGAGGTAGAAATCCATAGAGGAACAAATCAAACACATTAATGTTAAAGCAAAAACAAGACAAAATGCTCCATCATCTTCGTCAAATCAAGTACTAAATTCCCATCCTAAATTCTATACTCAGGTGTTTGATTTAGAGGAAATTCCAAATTTATAAATGGATTATGTATCCAGTGTTCCTTTTGACTTAGAAACTCAGGACCCACATTCCTATAGAAATGATGGTATAAATGCCATACCAGATACATTATAAGTAAAAAGTTTCCACAATATTAGGTAGTAACTGGGGCGCCTGGGTGGCGCAGTCGGTTAAGCGTCCGACTTCAGCCAGGTCACGATCTCGCGGTCCGGGAGTTCGAGCCCCGTGTCAGGCTCTGGGCTGATGGCTCGGAGCCTGGAGCCTGTTTCAGATTCTGTGTCTCCCTCTCTCTCTGCCCCTCCCCCGTTCATGCTCTGTCTCTCTCTGTCCTAAAAATAAATAAACGTTGAAAAAAAATTAAAAAAAAAAATATTACGTAGTAACTACTTGCTCCTTCTGAGGCCAAAATAGAAGTCATTCATTTTTTGTTTAATTGTTTTGGTATCATGTGATTTTACATTCTGGCATTTTTCAAATCAAAACTAATCTTAAAATTGATCTACTTTCCTTTTCTTTTGTTCCCCTGAAAAGCTGTTAAATTTATGGTACATATTACCTACCATTACCAACAATGGGGTCTTAAATCTTAACCTCAAATGTAGTATCCTAACTATATCTGAGTACTTATAATTATTAATGTAGGGAAGGGAGATACATTCCAAGTTTGATACCTGCATTTTGTTCTGCCCATCATATTATTCCCGTTAGGGATTCAGTTAATCCTTATGTTGAAACTATAGTTTTATTTTCACCAGCTGCCTCTGGACAACACAATGTCTCCCTTTATCCAGAATATTTAACCAGTTTCTCTGAATTTTCTTCCATAGCATATGAATTACCCCAGATTCTGTCCCATCTATTAAAAACAACAAACCTCCTCCTACTCTGTGGCTTTCCTCTGGCTGTGGCCCTATTTCCTTTCTTTTACAGTCAGAGTTCCTTTAAGGATATCTGCACACGTTCTGCTGAATAGAGGTATCATGATTTATGCAACCTGTTCCCTTTTAATGGACATCTAAGATAGAAATTATAATCAATATACTTTGCTCAACATCCTTGAACAAATATCTTTGCACATTAGTGCAGATATTTCTGTAGAATACAATTCCAGAATCTGAGGGAATGCACATTACGGTTTGCACTGTGTGCTGCCAAAAATTTGTTCAAAATCCTAACCCCAGTGTCCCAGAATATGGCCTTTTTTAGAGATGGGGTCCTCATGGAGGTAGTCAAGTTAAAATGAGCATATTAGGATGGGTTCTAGTCCAATGAGTGGTATCTTTGTAAGAGGAAATCTGGACATGGACATGCAGAGGGAAGAGATATGGATGTAAAGGAAAACAACCACATAAACGTGAAGACAGCCATCTATAAAAGCCAAGAAGCGAAGCCAGGTACAGATCCTTCCTTCATATACTGAGAAGGAACTAATCCTTTCAACACCTTGATTTTGGATTTCTAGCCTCCAGAACTGTGATTTCTGCTATTTAAGTCACTCATTTGGTAGTACTGTTATAGCAGCCCTAGAAAACTTATAAAGCACACTTGCAAAAAAACCCTCCAAAATAGCTGTGACAATTTATATCTTAACCAACCATGTAGAAGGGTAGCTTTCTCCTCACCCCTCACCAATACTTAAATATTAACCTTTGCAATGTTTAATTTCTAAGACAAATAAATGGTATTGCTTTTCTTTTTTTAATTTTTTGATGTTTATTTATTTTTGAGACAGAGACAGAGCATGAGCAGGGGAGGGGCAGAAAAGGAGAGAGACATAGAATCTCAAGCAGGCTCCAGGCTCTGAGCTGTCAGCACAGAGCCTGACATGGGGCTCAAACTCAGGAGCCCTGAGATTGTAACCTGAGCCGAAGTCAAACGCTTAACCAGCTGAGCCACTCAGGCGCCCCTGGTATCTCTTTTCAAGGCACACTTCTCTGATTTTTTTTTAATCCAGATTTAGCATCTCTGGAGTTTTATTTCCTTTTAAAATACCTAAAATGGACTCAAATGAATTGATACTACCAAATAACTATTCAAATCTAACTACATGATTTCAGTATAGTTTCATACAATGATAAAAAAGGATGAAAAAATATTTATCTTTTAAAAATGTTTAACTACTCATTTACTTATTGACAATCTACAGCAAAATTTTCATTCTCTATGATTATCACACGTAGCATGAAGTTTATTCCTAAAAGGCAAAAGCTAAACAATTCGCAACTACACACTTTAAAAAGTTAATTTCGTACTTATAGCCTATGAAAATCTAGCAATCCAATTCATAATGTATTAAGGATTATGCTTTTGAAGTAAATTAATTACTGGTCTTCCCATTAGAAATACACTGTTGGAAATTGAGCATTTAGCAAATGCTCTAAAATGTTCTAAAATGATACCATAAGTTTTAGGAGCATTGTAGTAACATTAAAAAAATATATACCATGTAGGGTTGTAATTGCTTGAAAAAGTTCCTTTTGGGAGATAGTAATAAGGTACATATGTCCCCAAATCACTATTTTGTTAATATGCTCATCTTGTTTAAGGATTATTTTCTATCTTCTCTTTCACGGATTTTTGTTGGTCTTTGCATGAGTTAACATATGAACTTTCAGGTTATTTGACTGGACAAACCTCTTATGACAGCTTTCAAAGGGACACACAAAACGTTTCTCCCCAGTATGGATACGTACGTGGGTACGCAAATTATAGTCCAGGGAAAAACGTTTTCCGCACCCTTCAAAAGTACACCGAAATGGCCTCTCTCCAGTATGAACCAGAAAATGTCTTTTTAGTTTTGCACTCTCATTGAATGCTTTCCCACATTCTGCACATACATGATCTCGGGGAGCATGAACGAGGAGATGCCTTCTCAGGGAAGCTCTATTCTTTAACTTTTTTGTGCATCCACTGTGAGGACAAACAATTCTTTCTGGAGCATCATATTCCTTATTTTTTGTGGGCTTCTTTCTAGCAAATTCTGCAAACTGTTTAGGATCTGATACATCAGTGCTGGGTATTCCTCCAGGAGAAAGCTTCTTGCCTGTCTCATACTCTGAATACTCAAGCTGTGAATTCTCTCCAGTCTGCTGAGAAAGTTCTTGTTTTGCCCCTTTTTGCACACATTTCAAGGATTTCCCCAGAAGCGAGCTTGCAGTAAGAACCTGTTGAGAAAGCTCTTGTTCTGATTCTTCTTCCTGGTAGTTAAGGGACTTCAGTGAGTCTTCTTCCAGGATGGGTTCAGAAAACTCACCTCTTATTATGCATTCTATGTAACAATCAGAGAAGGAATCTTCTCCAACAACTAGGTGGCTACTTTCAAAGAATACACCTTCATCTTCTAAGGCCCATGGCATGTCAAAAGGTTCTTGTTGGGCTGGCCGTGGCTTGGATGGCTTTGGTTTATCCCCACTGAAGGCTCTTCTACCCAAGCCTTTCCAGCCACAAGTCTTTACCTTTTTCTTCAGTTGCTGGTCCATATTGTCGTGTTGCTTCTTCCTTGAAGGTTTGTACCAGGATATATCAACCACTTCCAGGTGATAGTGATCTGAGTAAACTGCCTTCAGCAAACACCTGCTTTGAGATAGTAACCTTTAGATAAACTATATTCCAACTTTAGAACCACTGTCAGAGCTTTAAAAATGGCCTCAAACTCACTTTTTAATAGCGAAATGGCTGCATTTGCTTCTTCTCTGACAAACCCAAGAAAGTAAGAGAATGAGCTGTGACACAGGATGTGGATTATAACTAGATCTTATGTGGGGGTCCCCACAAATTATCTGCCCTCTCCAACTGACCACCTAATGTTTACTGGGTACTCACTATGTGCTAGTCCTACTCTAGGCTGCTCATAGGTTGAGATCTATTGGTAAGTAGACATACAAAAAATCTGTGCCTCACGAGTATACAGTCTCGTGAATATACAAAATAAGTATTATATGTCACACATTAAAAGGTGAAGTGCTACAGAATAAGCAAGGGAGCTAGTAAAAAGTAGGAGTTCTCAGTTTTAAATAGGGAGCTCAGGCAGGCTTGCCTGAGGTAGAAGCAGTTGACTAAAAACTTGAAGCAACTGAGGGAGTAAGATGTGCCTATTTTCTTATATAACACTGTTGGGAAATTCAAATTAAATAATGCATGTAAAGTGCTTAGCACAGAGCAAATGCTGAATGTTTATGTGAGCTAGTGTTATTTACCTTTGTATTCATTAAATATATGGTGGATCCTGTGATGTTCCAGATACTATTCTAGACCAAGGGTGGCATTTTTTTTTTTTTTTATTTTAATAAAGAGCTAGATTTAAGCGTCGTGGGCCCTATGGTCTATGTCATAACTGTTCAACTCTGCATTTTGTCATATGGAAGCAGCCATGGATGATACATAAAGGACGAGCATGCATTCCAACAAAACAAGCAGAGGCTGGATTTGGCTCATGTGTAGTTTCTGTTTCTTCTTCACAAGATGGAGATTCAGAAAGAAGACACATGAAATCCATGCGTTGCCATCTTTTACAAGTATAAGCCAAAATAAAGGCAAGCGGAGTTTAGCCTTGAATAGTTTTCTGTCTTTTTCTTAAAAATCTAAAAGTGGGGTGCCTGGGTGGCTCAATAAGTTCAGAAAAATCTCTTGATTTTGGCTCAGGTCATGATCTCATGGTTCATGAGTTCGGGGCCCACATGGGCTCCATGCTGACAGCCTGCTTGGGATTCTGTCTCTCTCTGCCCCTCCCCACCCTTCTCACTCTCTCTGTCTCTCTCAAAATAAATGAATTAAAAAAAATTCAAAAATCTAAAAGCAATATTATAAAAGTTAGAGCATGAATATGATATATTCTAAGAGCCTTTTACTTAATGTTACAATTGTGTGCCTTATAGAAGATCTCTTAATATTATTGTCCTGATGTCCTGCTGTAGGACAAAAATTAAAATGCTTTTTATAAAGGAGTAAATGTGAAGGTAATGGACAGAAAACTAACAGCTTGAAAATATTTTTAAATAGCTACATTTAAAAATACCACCTCAAAAGAATCATGCTATTTACTTTTGTCAAATACACAGCATCAAAACAAAACATGTTTTTCAATTGCTATGGGAAGATTTTTGAAATGCCTCCTTGAACATTTATATATATATAAATATACAGTGCATAATGTTTTATGTAAATTACAGACTTAAAATATAAATTATAGGGTCACTGGGTGGCTCAGTAGGTAAAGCATTCTACTTCAGCTTAGGTCATGATCTCAGGGCTAGTGAGTTCGAGCCCCGTATTGGGCCCTGTGCTGGCAGCTCAGAGCCTGGAGCCTGCTTTGGATTCCATCTTTCTCCCCTCTCTCAAAATAAATAAACATTAAAAAAATTAAATATAAATTATAAATAAATTATTTATGTACAATACATAAATGTTTTATATATATAAATTGCTAAGGGAAGAGATTTGAATTTCTTCTTAAGCATTTTTATATATATTTCTATGTAATATATATATACAAATGTTTAAGAAGCTTAAAACATTATTTCCTTAGCAATTGAAAAGCACAGGTATTTAAAAATATTTTCAAGCTATATATATATGTGTGTATATCTATCTATCTATCTATATACATATGTATATAGATAGATAGATAGATAGATAAAATGTTAAATGGTACAAGTATTATTATTTATTGCTTCTTTTAAAAAGGTGAAATAAACCAGGAGACTGTATTCAGGAAAATTTGCCTAACAAAATCTTGTTCTCTTAGCTAAAAATTATTCTTGATTTTTTATTTTTTGTATTAATGAATATAACCTCTTTGGACAAAATCACTAGCAATCAGTCTAAAGTTTGAGTAGGATAATACAAAACTCCCCTCCCCCATTGAGGCCATTTAAAATACGTGGAATTTGATTTGATTCCAGCTTTTCTCTCCCAGTTTATGTCTTGCTAATTTCAGCTCCCCTATTTTATTTTCAGCCATAATAAACTCTCCCTCCAATAAAGCAGTATGCTGTTCCTTCTTAATCCTGCCCACCCTCACTCCTCCTTCCCTTATTAGTGCACACACACACTCACACAAGCTCATTTCTCATCCATATTTCTGACCTCTGCTTAAACATCACTTCCTCAAGCAAGTTTCCCTTCATTCTTAGGCTCAGTTAGGTTCCCAAAACTTCCTCTTTTACACTAATCAGTCTCTGGTACCGATTACTTTAAGATCTGTCTTACCTATTAGACTGTAAGGTCTATGAGGGCAAGGTCCTCTTCTGCTTTATTCCTATGTCCCAGGGCTTAGAACATTTGTCTAATGAAATGAATTCATATATATGCATTAATAATCATACTGGTGATACTGGTTTAGCAAATCTATAAAATTAATTTACTACAAAATTATTTGTGACTTTCAAAACACTTAATGTAGAGGTTCCAAAAAGTTGATTATCAATGATGCCAAATGTTACCTAGAAAAAGACATCTAATTAGGAGATCGGGATTGAAAGAGAAGTATTTTCTTTATGAACTTATCAAAGCCAAATGTAGCCCTTACTTTTCTAAGCTAGATTTTATTTGACAGATCCTCCCATTTCTTACACAAAATTCAAGCTTGTGAGTGATGTAAAAAGTGAAATACTAACTTACTAATTTATTATGGGAAATCCAGTTTATATAACAAGTACATTCTCTGTTGGTGGAAATAACTACTTGGAAAATGTACTCGGTAAACATGGTGGTAAGACAGAATCTGGATATTAAATACTTAATGGTATGACAATAATATAATTTTATATTTCTCAAACTGGCATAAAGGTGCTTCCAAGAGTGCATCATTTACTTATTCAATCATTTGACAAATATTTAGTACCAAACATTGTTCTAGGTGTTCACCCTAGAACAGTAAAAAAAGATCCAAAGTTCCTGGTTTTCATGGAGCTTTTATTGTGTAAAATAAAAATGTAAGTAAACAAAATGGTTTCAGGTTGAGTAAAATGCTATGAAGTATAAGCGATTAGAGTATGAGAAGGAAAGGAAATGGGGGAAGCCATCTTAAGGAAGAATGTCTCCAACAGCATCCAAGGTGGGGGGGTGGGGCATTAGGCTTAGGCTGAGACCTGAAAAAAAAGTATCAGCCAGTGGAAAGAGGTGGGAGGAGAGTGCTCTTTCCAGGTTATAGCAGGGAGTACAAAGGGATTTGCATGCTGGAGGACAAAGGAAGACATGTTTATTACAGACTATGGCTGGCACAGACCGGAGTGGTCTGAGATAAGGTGGGGGACCTTGCAGAATCTTGTGAGCCAGGGGAGCCATTTACATTTCTTTCACAAACCCATGGGAACCATTACAGGGTTTCTTTCCAACCAGGAAATAGCATGCTCTGGCTGAGGTTAAACAGGTATGTGGAGAGTAGACTTAGGGAGGCAGGGGTGAAAGCAGAAAAATCCATTAGGCTATTTAGCAGTCCAGAAAGAGTGCTGGTATTGGTAGTGAAGATGAAATGGCGGGAGAGGGAAAACAGAGATAGAACGTTCTAAACTTCCTTGAGGATTGGGTAAAGGGAGTAAGGCAAACAGGGAAAACAATAATGACCAAGCGGTGTTCGGTTTTTTGCTGGAGTAACTGGTAGATGGTAGTGTCACTTTCAGAGATAATCAGAGGAGGGAAGAAATGGAAAACAGCTATACTCTCTTGATTTAATAATATGAACATTTTAATATAAATATTTTAATATATATCTAGCCATTTGTTGCAGTGAAATATATGAATTTTTCAAACAAAATTTAAAAAATGCAACTTCAAGGAAATTTCAACCAGGCATCTATTTTCATGAAAGTGTATTTGTTTCCCTCCTTTGTCTGTGTTAGAAGTTTGAGGCCGGTGGCCCAAGGCAGTTAAACCTCCTAGCCAAGGTCCGTCCCCACTGGTTCTAGGATGATGAAACCCTTCCTGTCCATGGTTTTTCAAAACCTTTTGAACAGGACCCACGTTAAAAATACATTCTAAGTGGTGAACTCAATACCACACACCTTCCCCCATATCTGAAAAAAAAAGGCAGAGATCCACGAAACAAGACTTACCCATGCACTCTGATATTTCCTTCCAAAAGAAAGACCAAGAAGAAACTGTTACTGGCGCCCCCCAACAGCAGCTGAAATCTTCCCTGCTTTACGCTCCGCCTACTATACCCGCCCTCTTTTTGATGGACACATTCAAATTAGGCTACACCTACATTTCAACTCTGCATTGCTTAGGCTGGAGTTTCCTAGAAAAGGCTCTACCAAACCTGCTTCGGTAAGGACATCAGGTAGCAGTGGAGTGGCAGATCGTGTGGCTTTGCACCGCCCAGGTCAGGGTTGGCCGCCTACACCTGCCCCCCCGCCCCGGGACACCTCAGTGCCTGGTCCCTCACCACGTGGGCAAACCTGTTTGAATTCCAGTCGCCTAGTTTTAGCCTGTAGTAGAGGCACTCAGTGTCTGTTGAACATATCAACTTAGGTATAATCATATTTATACAGTTATTTTTCAATGAAATGAAAATCCAGTGGTGGAAGCAGTTTTTACCTACTAGAAAAAGTTTACCCAAACGCACACCACACCTTGCTCTGCACTCTTTTACCCTCCCCCAGCCTCTACTCCCCACCCCACCTATCTCCAGCCTCAGAATTACTGCTTTTTTTTCTTTTTCGGGCATTAATGTGACTGTTTATATCCTTAAAGGTAACACAACTCACTTTGAAAGCCGCGGTCAATCAACGCTTGCCATTGGCTATGGTCTAGTGAAGTTTAATAGTTCGTGTAAGCACACAGACCATTAAAACAAAAACCCAAATCAATGTTTAAAAACCTCTTAAATTTTACTTGAAGCTTGTCTGCAATTCACATATATATCTGGGAACAGTTCTCCACGCTATTTTTTTTTAAATTTGTTTTGAATGAATATCAGTTGTGAGGTCAGAAAGTAAAAGATCATCTCCAATGGGGGAAATATGTGAACTGTTTTTCTAGGTATTATTCCCTCATCTCCCCTGGTAGTCATACCAGATCCTCATCCGTTTGAGATTGAAGTTACATAAAGCTTCCTTAGCTCCTTACCTTGTTATATATTATTTGTAGGTGAGTTTCTGAAGGCAAAAATTGTGAGAAACTGCTTCTCTCCTGTTCTCTGTGGCGCCATACTATGGTCTATATAAACTTTATAGACAAGTTTTCAGAGCTGGTTTTCACCAACCCTTTTTTTGGTGATAAAAATGTTAATTTTTTAGGTTTCAATAGAAATAACTTCAAGAATTCTAATAGACCATTCTTTCCAAGCCTTTATATGGCAATGTCATTGGTCTTTGAAAGTCCCCCTCATCACCAGAGGTATCTCTCTGTCTTTCTGTGTATCATCATATTTATATACATACATAAAAATATAAATAAGTGACATATAATCATGTATCTATAATTTATATATATAGATAATATATTAAGAGATAAACATGTTTTATTTGAATATATACATATAAGTTATATACACATTATATATCACTTATATTTTTATTTCAAATATAATTTATATGTAAAAGATGATGATAGTTATACATATATATAGAAAGAGAGATATGCACACATACCTAAGCTGAAGATCCTTTCTTTTATCAAATTCACCAGACCACACCCTTTTGTTATCAGTCCCTTAACAGTTGAGACAGTACATACAATCAACTAGGTTAATTTATAATCCCTTCCTCACCACTGATTCTGTCTGTTCACTTGGTTTGTGTTAGTGTGACTTTGTCTGGAAACTGGAGGCGACATATTTAGAAAATCTAAATTTACATTTCACACTCCACCTTCTACATAAATTATTTTTGCTTCTATTTTGTTTCAGCTTTCCTGAAGAAGTAAACCAAAAAGAAGGCACTCATCTGTTGTCATATGAACCTAGCTCGCTCAAGGGCAGTTCTCCAAAATGAGCTAGGGAACCAATTAAACCATGAAACAAAAGTGGGCTGCCTTTTGAAATTGGTACAAAGAGAATGGTGCATGGAAACAAGTAATTTTTTGGATGCTGGAATTTTAGTCATAGTAATTCTTCTACAAATAACATCCTGGCTAGTTTTTAAAAATTCTATTTTGATTACTTATTTCTGTGTTACAAACAAATATTTTCCTTAAAAAGCTTAGAATGTGAAAACTATAAATATGCTTTAATTCACTCAACACATATTTAAGGTATTTTTAGAATGTGAAATACTATAAATACTGTGAAAACTGTAAGTATGCTTTAATCCACTCAACACATATTTAAGGTATTTTTTTCCCCAGATAGGCCACTGTTCTAGGCCCTAGGGTATGGATCCCTGGCCTTCTGGAGTTTGCAGGCTGAAGTAGCAGGGCGGGAAACTAGGGTGAGGCAAATAACTCACAGGTTTCCCCACAGAAAAATTTAAGGAATGCCAAAAAATTTGGTAACTAGAATTAATGATATTATATTTTTTAATTTTTTAATTATATTTTTGAATTTTTCTTTTTCTTTTTTTTAAATTAAATTTTAATTAACATACACTGCAATATTGGTTTCAGGAGAATTCAGTGATTCATCACTTACATATAACACCCAGTGCTCACCAGGACAAGTGCCCTCTGTAGTGCTCATCACCCATCTAGCCCATCCCCCCCCCACCTCCCTCTATCAACCTAGTGTGTTCTCTGTCATCAAGAGTCTCTTGTGGTTTGTTTCCCTTTCTTCCCTTCCCCACCCCCTTCCCATATGTTCATCTATCTGTTTTGTTTCTTAAATTCCACATATGAGTGAAATCATATGATATTTTTCTTTCTCTGATTGATTTACGTCACTTAGTGTAATACATTCTAGCTCTATCCATGTCATTGCGAATGGCTACAATTAATATTTTAATGCAGTATTTTAAGAAATAAAAGTTAGTGCAAAAATCCATAGTGAATAAATATCAAAAACTCAAATAAAGGCAGACAACTGAACAATCATGGTTTGTAAATGTCAAATGCAGCTATTATTAGGACCATGAAGGGTAGGCATTTGGTGTTATGGGAGCCCATAATGGGAGGCTGTGATGGAATCTGGAAGTTCAGGGAAGGTTCCCTGAAAACTGCTATGATCTGAAGGCAGTTTGGAAGGCAGAACTTCTCTAACAGTAGAGGGAATAACTATTTAAGGAGGGACAGCAAGAGAGAATGTGCATTGCTAAACTCTTGGGCCTTGTAGGCCATGGTAAGAAGTTAGATCTTCATCCTAAGAGTAATGGGAATGGACTGTTACCAGAAAGCATGTCATATGTAAATGCGTATTAACCTTAAACTTGTAAACTGTTGTATCATTGTTGGAGCTTCAATCTGTGTTTGATCTAGCTAATACTAACTGAATGCTTTACATGCATTATTCATTTTAGTATCTAGAAATCAAGTTTATAAAATTATTATCTTTACTATTATTATTATCATCATTTTATTTGCATTTAAAAATGATAATTCAGAGGAGCCAAAAAAGCAAGTAAGTAAACTAAGCACCTAAATTCAGATTAGAACTCAAGTGTCATACCTGTTAGAATGGACTTCATCAAAAAAGGCAAGAGATAACAAATGCTGGGTAGACATGGGGAAAAGAGAACCCCTGTGGGATTAGAAATTGGTGCAGCCACTGAGGAAAGCAATATGGAAGTTTTTTGAAAAATTAAAAATAGAACTACCATATGATCCAGCAATCCCACTTCTAGAAATATATCCAAAGGATATGAAGATATTAACTCAAAAAGATATCTGTACCTCCATGTTCGTAGCAATATTATTCACAAAAGTCAAGACATGGAAATAACTAAGTGTCTATAGATGGATGAATGGATAAAAAAAGTTTTGGTGTATAAATATAACAGAATATTACTCAGCCATTAAAAAAAAAAAAAAGGAATCCCTAATACTTGTGACAACATGAGTGGAACTTGAAGGCATTATGTTAAGTGAACTAAGTCAGGGAAAGACAAATACTCTACAATAGCACTTATGTGTAAAATATTTAAAAAAAGAAGAAAGAAAGAAAGAAAGAAAGGGAGAAAAGCAAAAGAGATCATAGCTGTGGTTACCAGAGGCAGAGAGTGGGGGAAAACAGAAATTGGAGGAAGGTGGTCAAAAGGTACAACTTCCATTTATAAGGTAAAGAAGTACTAGGGATGAGACATATGACATGATGACTATAGATAACACTGATCTATGATATATGGGAAAGGTAAGAGAGTAAATCCTCAGAGTTCTCACCACATGGAGAAAGTTTCTTCCCTTTTTTCCTTTCTTTCCTTTTATTATATCTAGATGGGAAGATGGATGTTAGCTGAACCTATTGTGGTGGTCATTTCATAATGATGCAAAAAACCATCATGCTGTACACCTTAAACTTATACAATGGTGTATGCCAATTAGTTCTCAGTAAGACTGCAAAAAAAATAGAACTCAAGTGTGCTTAATTATTTGAGATATAGCATTTCACATTATATTATGGCGTTTTAGAGATGCCATCATTTTATAAGAAGTCTCTTCTTGCTTTATTATTTTCTGTCATTTATACTGCCTATTTACATACTTATTTGGTACTGATAGCAACCTTATGAATTGTTATTACCCATTTTATGGATAAAGAAGTGGATAAGTCAGTAATGACAAATGCTTTCTTCAAAGCTGTGCAGGTATTCCTTTATGGGCCAAAGTTTAGACCCCAAGTCTTTCTATCTTGACATCAAGTTTAAAGCTAATTTTTTCAAGTTCAGTCAGTTGTTTAAAGAGCTTTTAAAATGTATTTTTAGAGTTTCTCTACAAAAAACAAAAAACAAAAAAAAACCCAAAACCCAGTCAATAATCGATGTTTCTACCTAGAATGTGGTATCTTAGTAGATGATGACTTTTAAGAGGGCATAATAAGGCACATTTTGACTCTACACTTTTTTAAAAAAATGAGATATAATTGACATAAACATAATACTAGTTTCAGGCGTATAACATGATTATATACATATATGGGTAGTGAAACGGTCCCCATAAAAATCCAGTTAACATCCATCGCCACAAAGTTAGATTTTTTCTCGTGATGAAAACTTCTGGTAATTATTTTATTAGCAACTTTCAAATACACAATTTATGGCATTATTAGTATTAGAGTCACCAGGCTATACGTTACATCTCTATGACTTAGTTGTTTTATAACTGGAAGTTTGCCCCTTTTGGCCCACTTCGCCCAGAGGTGGCAGTGGGGAGTGGGAGAAATA